CCCTCTCTCCCTTCCTTCCATTCTCTAAAACTCAATGGAAAAGATACCCTTGGGGGAGGATTAACAACACCAAAACAGAGATCGTCTAGCCGGGTCCCCCTTTGGGAAGGCCTCATGGTGGGGGTGGCACAGGCCTACGGGAGGTCAGTGCACGGGACACGCCCCGTTCTGGCAGGAGAAGAAGGGGCTTCGGTGCTATGACAACCTGGGAGACGCCCCGCGAGACAAGCTGTGCATCTGCAGAGACGAGATGTGCACGGATCTGGACACAGGAAGCACGCGTCCGCCTCCCTGGGTTTTGGTGATGTCGGGCAGGGACCCAACTCTGCGAACTGCCGGGCCGGGAGCAGGAGGAGGTGGGCAAGGCGGGGCGGGCGCGGCGCCCTCTAGGGAGGCTTGGGGTGGGAGGCCTCTGCTTGGCTGCAGGCATCAGGGTGGGGGGAGGGCTGACCCCCCACCGCCCGGCTTCCCCAGGAGCGGGCACCGCTGGCCTTTGCCAGGAGGTGGGAGGAGACGAAACCTGCCGTGGTGCAGGGAGGATCCTTCACCCTGGAGCTCGGGTTCCTCATCCCCTTGTGGCCTCACGCAGCCCCCGACATCTGGCCACACCCAGCGCCCAGGCTGAGGCACTGCTCTGGCTCTCGGCTTCTCCCTGTCCCGTCCCCCTGCCCCCCCTCCCCTGGCCCCTGGCCCAGGGCTCTGCCCCCCCTGCCAGGGGCCTTCACAACTGAACTCCTTGTCCCCAGCGTGCCTGGCAGCGCGAGGAGGCCCGTTTGGGGCGTCTCAGACAAAGGAGCCGGTGTACTGGCAAGTTCCAATGATGTGCCCAAGGTCACACCATTCCAGGTAGAAAAAGCAAAACAGAACATAGGCCCGCCCAGCTCAGGATAATCTGAGCTTCGATTCCCCGGGAGGCGGTGTGGCGACTGGACCGTACAAATTGGTCTGATAAGGAGACTGGAGTTGAGCACAAGCTGTGGAAACGCGGCAGGAAAAGACGGGCAGCGGGGGCAGTGCCCGCTGTGTGCCCGCCAGGGACGGCGTGTCTCAGTCAGGACGCCCCGAGATGAACACTGACAATCACTAATATCGACCGTGCATGTGTGTAGGCACGGGCCTAGGAGCGCCCTATGCCCTCATTTAAATACGCGGATACATTTTAAATGGTGTCAGAGTCCTAGAAGGCATCTGCTTCCAAAACCAGATCAGCCCGGCTCGTGTGGCTCAGGGGTTGAGCGTCAACCTATGACCCAGGAGGTCAGGGTTCAATTCCGCTCAGGGCACAGGCCCGGGTTGCTGGCTCGATCCCCAGTGTGGGGCTTGCAGGAGGCAGCCAATCCGTGATTCTCTCTCATCATTGATGTTTCTAGCTCTCCCTTTCCCTTCCTCTCTGAAATCAATTTTTAAAAAATAATAATAACAAATAAAAAACAAACCAAAAAACCCCAAAGCAGACTAGCAGTGTAGTAACCCGCTGTGCTGGGCGGGGTGATCCTGGAAATAGCAAGCCTGTCTCAGCCCCCGACTCACTGCTGTCCTGACAGTTTGCGTTGGGGAGTTCTGGCCCAGGAAAGGGGTCGGGGCTCCACGTGGTGGGGGGGCCCTCAGGGGGCTCCCTGCTCACCAATAAGAAAGACGCGCCCCCTTTTTGCAGCAGCACAGGAACAGCGATCCGGGCCGGCGGCCGGCCGTGGGCAGGTCTCCATCCTGCATCACCCGCGGTTTCTCGGAAACCTCGCCGGTATCACCATCCTCTTCCCATGCAGCCTCCTCATGTTTCATTAAATGCAGGCGTGCCCTCCCCCAGGCCTCGCTTCCCGCCTGGCAGCGGGGCAGGTTCTCGCCCTGGAAGCGTCCTGCCTGCTCCCCGGGTTTTCCGACATCTGAGGGAACCCGGTCTTTCCCACACACCGAGGTGGGAACTAAGAGGCATCTTAAGGGCTGAGCCGCTCCACATCCCGAGAGGCTGTGTGGACAGTGGTCCTTGCGCTCGCCCCGCTGACCCCTGACCCCCGGGCTCCCCTGAGACGCCCCTGGGAGGCACCTGGCCCTCTGAGCAGGCTTCGGGATGGTGCCAAGAAAACCGCGTGAGTTATGCACACACAGGAAGGTCTTATCTTAAATCCCTCGCTGGCAGCGGCTCCCAAGACACTGGAACTCCCGGGGGGTGAGAGGGCAGGACGCCCAGCGGGTCTTTGGGATCTAACCCGGAGGAGTACATTTCTCTGACCTTCAACTGGTGCCTCGGACCCGAGTCCGGGGAAGAGGCCAGAGCGGCCCGGGCTGGAGTCTCCAAAGGGCGCTGGGCACGCGTGGCTGTGCTGTGCCCGTGCGTGAGCCCGTTGGTTCTGTGAACAAGAAATCAATGGTTAAGAGTTTTGAAATATATGTTTATGGAATGCAGAGCGGAAGGGAGAGGGAGAGAGAGAGAAACATCCATGATGGGAGAGAATCATGGATCATCAGCTGCCTCCTACATGCCCCCCACTGGGCATGAGCCTGCAACCCAGGCCTGTGCCCAGACCAGGAATCGAACCGTGACCTCCTGGTTCATAGGTCGACGCCCAACCACGAGCCACGCAGGCCGGGCTCACATGGCTTTTGAAGGACAGAGACAGAGCGCACGCGCACAGGCAGCCCGAGCCCTTGGCCTGCAGCTCATTCCCACCCCAGCTGACCTCGGGCCGAGGGCGGGGAGGGGGGGGGTCCATTTCTCCCCGACTCAGTTTCCTGCCTATAAAGGCAGAGATAAGCCTTATGATCTGCTAACTCGCAGGACGATGAAAAGAATTAAAATGAAATAATGTCCAAGAAAATGAATTAGCCCACAAAACGTGTTTTAACGCTGACCCTCGGCTGCCACTGGGCTGCTAGGAAGTGAGCACAGGCGTTTGGTTTAGTCGGTGGCTCTGGCCTGACCACAATGCGAGCGCCCTGGTCAGCTGGGTGTTCAGTGCATCTAAGAGGCACCCTTAGGTGCCAAAGAGATTTTGAAAAAGAAGAAAGAATGAATGTGAACCCCTCAGTGGTAGTAAGTGCTGGGCAGATATAAGGACTTGCATGACTGTTATTGTTCTTTGCTCCACGTATGGGAACCACTTCAGCTGCACGGTACCCTGTGCCCTGGACAGAGGGGCTTCCGGGGGGAGACGCGTTACAGAAAAGCAAACAGCCCCGGTCTGGCTGTGAGCTCGCGTCCCAGCTCCGTTTCTTCTGTCTGTGCCGCGCTCTCTCTCCCGGGTGCCTCTCTCTTCCCGCCTTGGCTAATTCACCTCGTTTATGATTAACGACAACGAGACTGTTAGAAAAGCTCAAAACCGCCCGGCCAGTGTGGCTCAGGCGGGGTCGATCTCCAGTGTGAGGCGTGCAGGAGGCAGCCGATCCATGATTCTCTCTCATCGTTGATGCTTCCGTCTCTCTCTCCCTTCCTCTCTGAAATCAGTAAAAACATATTTTAAAAGGAAAGAAAAGCTCAAAACCTCTGTCACAGGGACATCTATTGAGAAAGAAGCATCTTGCTCGTGAAATGTACAGTCTCCTGCAGACACCTACTTTTAATGACTCTGCCCAGTACCCCTCTGAAGTAAGCAGGGGGGGTCGTACTGTCTCCCCCTTTTGGGATGAGGAAGCGAAGCTGGTGAGATGAAGTGCGTTCCCTCGGTCACAGCGGAGGAGACAGGACCCAGGCCCTTCGAGCTGCAGGCCGGCTCCAGCCCTCCTGCCCAGGGTCCTGCTAGCCCATCGTGAGCAGAGTGGGCCTGGCTGACCTTGGGTGTCGACACACACAGGAGCCAGCAGCCATTCCTGCAGGTCATGGTGACCGACACGGTGGGTTCCCCAACCTGCAGAGTGGCCTTTGGACACTTCCCATTGGTTTTTAGAGAGAGTGGACAGGAGGGGGAGAGACACAGAGAGAGACGCAGCGATGTGAAGAGACGCATGGATCGCTTGCCTCCCACACGCACCCCGACCAGGGCCTGGGATCGAGCCTGCCACCGCGGCGCGTGCCCTGACCAGAGTCAAACCCGGGACCTTCCAGTCCGCAGGCCGAAACACTAACCACTGAGCGAGTGGTCTTCCCAGGTAAGAGCAGGTGGCGTATTAGGTTGGAAAGCACTTCCTTTCAGCGTCTTTCCACAATCCCGGCCCCGCGTCTGTGCACTGCCTGCCCTCGCCCGTCGCGTTCGCAGGGGTTAGGGTGACACCTGCCCAGAGGGCCTGTGCTCTGTCGGAAACATCGCCTCGGGGCTCCGAGCAGAGGGGAGACCTCAGGCCACGGGCTGATGTGCTCCTGGAAGCCAAGTGCGAAGTAAAGTGGGTGCTGGGGGAGCGCTCATCTGACGAGCATCAGGTATGAGTGCACCCCTCAGGGCTCGTCCGCGGATGTGTAGTCCCGGGCCTCGTGCTAAGGGACCGAGGCTGCCCGCAGGCCCAGCGAGCAGCTCAGGGGATGCCCGTCCCTCAAAGGGCAACAAGCTAGTGGGGGAAGTAGACGTTGTGAACTACCATTAAGGCCGGACGGGCTCGGGGTTCGCAGAGAGGGCCGGTGGGCGCGGCGGGAACTCGGGAATGTGGTTGGGAAGGAGGAGAAACTTCAAGGATGAAGGACAGGCGGGCGTGGGTATTGAAAGATGAGTCCATTCCAGCTGCTTCTTCCCCAAGGCGGTGCCGCGGGCGGGAGGAAACGGGGTGTCAGGGACCTCCAGGGCTCCTGGAACTCGGGGTCCCCCCTGCCCAGCGGGATCAGCTCACCACCTGCCTCCCACCCCTCCAGCCACACCTCCCACCCACTCTGCTCTGAGCAGGGCCTCCAGCAGGTAGCACCACCTTCTCCTGCAGTGAGTGCACCGCCCGTCCAATCCCGATGGAGGGCATCGAGTTGCACGGCCGCCCCGGGAGCCCCAGAGCATAAAAGGCCGCCCAGCCTGTCCTGCAGCAGCTGGACACCTCCCGACATGGGCTGCCCGGCCCCGTTCCTGGGGCTGCTGCTCCTGCCCGGAGTTTTTCTACTCGAAACAGGTACAGCCATGGGTGCCCGAGCCCCTTGCTCCTGCCTGTCCCCGGGAGGACAGGGCAAGTGTGGGTGCCCCCTAGAGCCCCCCAACCCCCTGTGGGGAAGCTAGAATGAAATCCAGACCATGAGGGCCTTTCCCGTGTTGGATGCAATCCAGCCACGGAGGGAGACGTTGCTGTGACGGTCACCGAGTGCTTAACCATGGGTTTGGGGGCGCTGGGTCAAGGGTGTTCTGTGGGTTCTGTTCTGTGGGCGAGGCACTGGCCCATGCGCTGCTCTGTAAAAGGGGGACTCTGTACTTAGGGTTCTGGAGAGAGATGGGAATAGAAGGAGCACTTGGTGTCTCCAACTTAAACTAAAACAACTCTAAGAGGTTGAGCGTGGTTGAGCATGGACCCATGAACGTGCCCGGTTGCGGGTTCGATCCTCAGAGGTGGGCATGGAGGAGGCAGCCAATCAGTGATTCTCTCTTATCCGGATGCTTCTCTGTCCTCTCCCTCTCCCTTCCTCTCTCTGAAATCAATAAAATATCGATTTTCTGAACCCCTGCAGGGTCCTGGGTCCAATCCCAGTCAGGGCTCCAAAAAATCAAAATTTTTTTAAAAGAAGGAGGAGGCGCGCTGGCCAGGGCACCTCGAGGCTTCGACGTGCTCTCTGGCCCGCACGCTGACATGGGGCAGTGGAGGTACTGAATTACCGTCACGATTTCTTTCCTGTTGCTGAAGGCGCTGAAAAATGTACCACAAAAGAATACCTTCGCCTGAAACAGTTGGCGTGACATGAAATTATCTAGATTCGATTCATGAAGTCTCCTAGCCTGAACATCTCTCTCCTTTTATTTCCAAAGAATTATCAGTTCGGTGACCTCAGCCTTAGCCTGTACTCCACATCGAGTCCTCTTAGAGTCGTTTTAGTTTAAGCTGGACCGGCACTATTTCAAGCTGTCCATGTAATTTCCATTACTTTTACCCTTATTTTGTGACTTGAGGGGGAAATAGTGAAGTCCCCTGTTACTTAGCGTTCCACTTACACGCGCAAACGAAAGTTCGGGAATACTCTGGAACAACAAATAGCTTGGATGAGATTTTCATTCACTGTAAAGACAAACCTAATCACCACCCACAGAACAACGTTTGATTGTGAAGTTCAAACTCTCCTTTTATTCTGCAGGTAAGTGAGTAGCTACTCAGACCTGTTTGCTAGGACACGCGAGGGTGTGCAGAAGGATCTAAGCCAGCAGTTCTCAACCTGTGGGCCGCGACCCCTTTGGGGGTCGAATGACCCTTTCACAGGGGTCGCCTAAGACCATCAGAAAACACATCTATAATTACATATTGTTTTTGTGATTAATCACTATGCTTTAATTATGTTCAATTTGTAACAAGAAATTGGGGGTCACCACCACATGAGGAGCTGTATGAAAGGGCCGCGGCATCAGGAAGGTGGAGAACCGCTGAAGCCGTCTCCTGCGTCCTTCGGGGCCGGGGCCTTGGTGGCGTTTACACGTCTGATGATGAGTGAGCGCGGAGTGTGACTTAGGGCCGAAGGTCTGCGTGGCTCAGGCCCCGAGTCCCCGTGTCCTGACCCTGTGAATGCGGCAGACTTTGCATCCCTCCGGCTGCTGCCTCGGCTCTCACAGACGAAGGGAGGATTCACTGGGGAGATTTAATGGGATAATGTTCGTAAATGACTTGGAAGCTCCGCGAGAAGCCGCTAAGTCAGTGTGAACTGACATTAGACGCTACAAGCTCTACACTGGGGATCGTAAACCCAGGAGGAAGGACAATGCGGGTGCTCAGTGTCCGACTAAAGCGTTTCCCCGGTGTATCCATCCCCAGGAACCAGGACTTCCTCTTTCAATATTCCCGCCCCAGGCTCGGCCAATAGATGCAACATCGGGTTTTGGTTTTTGGGGTTTTTTTTAATGTTTTATTGATTTTTTTACAGAGAGGAAGGGAGAGGGATAGTCAGAAACATCGATGAGAGAGGAACATCGATCAGCTGCCTCCTGCACACCTCCTACTGGGTATGTGCCCGCAACCAAGGTACGTGCCCTTGACCGGAATCGAACCCGGGACCCTTCAGTCTGCAGGCCGACGCTCTAGCCACTGAGCACACCGGTCAGGGCGATGCAGCTTTGTTACATGCCAGCAGGAAGGGGTGCTTTTCTCCAGCTCATCAGCACCTAACAGGCGGGCGCCCGGGGAGGGAGGGGGGCTGTGCCAAGCGTATGTGGAAAACGCATGGGGCTTTCTCGCCCTGCTGGTGTGGTTCAGTGGATAGAGCATCAGCCTGTGGGCTGAAGGTCCCAGGTTCCATCCCAGTCAGGGCACAGGCCCAAGTTGTGGGCTCCATCCCCAGTAGGGGGCATGCAGCTGATTGATGATTCTCTCTCATCATTGATGTTTCTATCTCTCTCTCCCTCTCCCTCTCTAAAATTAATCAAAAAATATGTAACATATTCACTACAGCCTTGTTTATAACAGAGTAAAAACTAAAATTACTGACAGAAAAACATTCATGATATATTTTTTCAATATAAAAAGCAAGGAAACATGGAAAACTGTGATATAT